CAAACTCAAAGTGACTTGAATGTTTGAAGAAAAGTTATTCCTCACCTCCTACTCTCCAAAGCATACTAAAACAAGTAAAAAAGATGAGAAAAAGGCAAAGTATTTATATGAAAATAAGTTACAAATACTTGAAACTAAAAAAAAAAAAAAGCAGAATAAGTTACTGTGTTGTAAAAACACTTAAAGGAAAATCAAAAGAACAGTAAAAGTTTTGAGCCTTTTTAGGACTACTGGGATCATAAGCATTCTTTCTTGCTGACCTATAACAGGAACTCAATAGTTACCCAAGAGTGTCTGCTTTAGAGAAAATAATTTCAGCAGCTCAATTGTAATGAGATTAAAGAGTACAGGAATGCAGGGCATGTGTGAGTTTAGATCTGGGAGAGAGTTGGTTAATTCAAAATAATGGTATCCTAAACAGTCAATGCCTACTTTTAGATATTAAAATATTTTGTTAAGTACACATCCAATTATAAAATAATATGGCTTGGTTATTGGTTTTATTATAAATACCTGGTTTACGCTAAGCAAAAACTTGGGGCTTCAAAATCTCTGTATTTCTGAATTTCCAATGCAATAGTTTCTGTCAATGAAATGAAGAACCTAAGTGGGAGAAAAAAATCTAAATCCTATTGCACAAGAAATAATGTAATCTAATGGGTACTGCACTGAATCTGTAGATTGCTTTGGGTAGGATGGACATCTTGTCATTTCCAGGTCTGAGAAAAATGATTTTGGTAAATTTGATGGTACAAACAACACACATTTCAGCACAATCATTTTAACACCCATCAGGTCTCTTCTTCATAGTGCTGGATCCCATTCTTAAAAGTTTACTCCCCCCCCGCACTTTGAACATAACTGTGCCAATAGTAAAGCAAATACCTTGTTCTCCTAAGCCAAGACAGTTGGAGTCTTGCGGAAAACCCTGTTCTCAGCTGCCCCCTTGCTGCCGAAAAGAAACTTTGAGGTTGGTGCAGTTTAGAAATATATTAATTATATTGGTATATTTCTAATATAAGAGAGAAAAACATAAGCACAGAGAATTTTGTGAAATGGCAGAGATCAGGAGATGTCAGGGCTTAAGTACTCCAAATCTCTCAGCATATTTGATTAATAATAGAAATACATAAAATGTTTGATTTCCCTAGTCTTCCAGTATCCGAGTTCTCTGGTTCTGAAAACCTGAGCTGCTGGATATTTGTACATTAAGAGAAGAATTAATTCATTAACTGAAAATTTCAGTGACAGTGAGTGGTAACAATAGTCAAAGAATGAATTGCTTATTCTCAGTATATACAGTCATCCCTCAGAATACGAGGGTTGGTTCCAGGGCCTCCTGTATATACACAAATCCATGTATACTCAAGTACTACAGATGGCTCTGCAGAACCTGCTTACGTGAAAAGTTGACCCTCCGTAAACCTAGTTGTTGCATCCTGTGAATACTGTATTTTTAATCCTCATTTGATTGAGAAAAATCCACATGTAAGTAGACCCACAGTATCCAAACTTGCATTGTTCAGGGAAGGGGTCCTCAATCCCATCCCCAATCCCACAGACCGGTACTAGTCCATGGCCTGTTAAAACTGGGCCGCACATCAGGAGGTGAGTGGAGGGGAACAAGTGAAGCTTCATTTGTATTGACAGCTGCTCCCCACTGCTTGTATTACTGCCTGACCTCTGCCTCCTGTCAGATCAGTGGCAACATTAAATTCTCATAGCAGCACAAATCCTATTGTGAACTGCACATGTGAGGGATCTAGGTTGTGCACTCCTTATGACAATCTAGTGCCTGATGATCTGAGGCAGTGATGCTAGCACTGAGGAGTGGTTGCAAATATAGATTAACATTAGCAGTGAGGTTTGACTGCACAGAGACTATAATAAATCAATTGATTGCAGACTCATATCAAAACCTTATCAGTGAGTGGCAAGTGAACTGATTACATCAGTTGTACAGCTACATCTGGTGGCTGGCTTTAAGTCAGAATCTGACACTTATTTTAGTCTGTGCATGGCCCATCCATTATTTTATTTACCACTTCCCCTCCTTCTATGGCTCTTTTCCACACCACACATTTGTCTCAGTCATGGTTTTGGTAAGCCCACAAGCTAACCCTAGCTGAAATGCGTAAAAAAACAAATGTCACTGGAAAGCATCTTTGAAAAAAGGGAAGGACCCAACAAAAAGAAACAAAAAGAAAGCTGCATTAAAAAAAGAATACCAAGAGTCCTACTACTTAAATTATAGGTTCATTGCAACAGGTGATTCACATTCTCCAACTCCACTTTGTATAATATGTAGCAACCAGCTATCCAACAAAGCCATGAAACCTTCAAAACTATTTTGCCACATGAAGACCAAGCACACTGCATAAAAAGATAAAAGCCTTTGGAGTTTTTCAGAAGGAAAAAAATGTAAAACAGAAGCAATTACTGAAGGCCATCACCTCATCAAATGTGTCTGCACTGGGAGCATCATCCTTAGTGGCTAACCACATTCACTATTGAAGTCCTTCACTATTGGTGAAGCGTTTATCCTGCCTGCTGCTGAGGACATCTGTCGTCAACTTTTAGGAGAAACTGCAGTTCAAAAGGTGGCACATGTTCCTCTTTCGGCTAGCACCATAACTAGACAGATTGATGAAATAACAGAGGATACTGAGGCACAATTGTTAGAGAGGATTAATGAGTCACCATGGAATACAATCCAGGTTGATGAGTCTACTGATGTTGACAACAAAGCAACAATGATTGTTTTTGTGCTGCATATTTCTCAGGAGGATGTGCATGAGGATATGTTATGCGCACTTTTGTTGCCAACCAATACCACAGCTGCAGAACTATTCCAGTCTGAATGGTTACATATCAGGAAAACTGAATTGGTCATTTTGTGTCAGTATATTCACAGATGCAGCTGCCATGACTGGACAGCTTTCTGGTTTCACTTCCTGAGTCAAAGAGGTTGTTCTGAATGTGCGTCTACACACTGTATCATCCACAGAGAAATGCTGGCTGTGATTAAAATTATCAACCACATTAAAGTACATGCCCTTAACTCACATTCATTCATTCACACAGTTCTGTGAGGAGATGGACACAGAGAACACACATCTTCTCTTATACACAGAAGTGAGATGGCTTTCTAAAGGTAGATCACTGGCCAGAGTTTTTGAGTTACAAGATTTCTTTTAGAAAAGCAGTCACCACTGGAGGCACATTTCACTGACACAGAATGCACTGCAAAACTTGCTAACTTGTGTGACATATTCAACCTGCTCAATGAATTCAATCTGTCACCTCAAGGGAGAATGACAACTGTGTAGCTATATTCAAGGCCTAACTGGAATTATGAGGACAAAGAGTCAACATTGGAATTTTGACATGTTCCAAACATTAATAGAGATTTTCAAAGAGACTGGAGCTACCAGGCCCTTCTTTCTCCCAGCTGGTACATGTTCATCCATTTCAGCTTTCAAAACAGTTTGCGCATTACTTCCCAACCACAAAAGACCCCCAAACTGGGAAGAAATGGATCTATGACCCATTTGTGAATAAGTCAGGTGAAATGACTTTGTCCATGCTAGAAGAGGATCAACTGCTTGAGATTGCAAATAGTGGTGGCCTTAAAAGTACGTCTGAGACAATCTCCATACATTCTGGATTAAACTCAAGGTGGAATTATCCTGAGATTGCCACAAAAGCAGTGAGAACCCTGCTTCCACTTCCAACATCCTGTCTTTGTGAAGCAGTGTTTTCTGCAGCGACAGCAACAAAATGAGACTATGGAATAGACTAGACACAAGCAACATGCTTTGGGTGTTTACTGCCTCCCATCACCCCCAGATGGGACCATCTAGTTGCAGGAAAACAAGTTCAGGGCTCACACTGATTTTACATTATGGTGAATTGTATAACTATTTCCTTATATATTACAGTGTAATAATAATAGAAATAAAGTGCACAATAAATGTAATGTGCTTGAATCACCCTGAAACCACCCCCATCCCCAGTCTGTAGAAAAACTGTCTTCCACGAAACCACTGCCTGATGCCAAAAAAGGTTGGAGATTGCTGTTTCACGGGGCAACTGCATTTATTTCTAACTATACCTCCACACATTCTTTAAAAGAAAAAAAAGCTAGGTATAGTGACACACACTACTCGGGGTTGCTTAAACCCAGGAATGTGAGTCCAGCCTGAGCAACATAGTGAGACCCTCATCTCTAAGAAAAAAAAAAGAAAGACTTGGGGACACAAACCACTGACTAATTCATTCATATGCTCCTGTGTTAACATACAGCACTCTAACAGATATTTACAAGGAAACTCTCTGAAGAATATATTTTCATTTTATAGGAAAAGTAGATGAAATGTAAATAATAGCTATTCATTTTTTTTATTTGGTCTAACATTTATGCATTTAAAAGTGCTAGTACAAACATTTACTTTTGCGTAAGATAACTGAATATCTAACACATTCTTTACCAACCAAATGTTTAATTAAGAAGAGAGAAAAGAGGAGTAGAGAGTCTTAGGAACACAGATCCAAACATTCCACAATTAATATATTAATCAGCCCATGATTCATCTTAAATCTACATTTCAGAAGCCTGTTTCTCAATAACCATGGGAATTGGTTTAAAAAGCCTAAATAGGAAAATTCTAAATCAAATATTTGTATGTATTAACTTTTCCTTCGGTTATAAACAAATAGTATGGTTACTAGGATGATGAATAAAAAATCAAAAAGTAGCTTAGCTTATATTTTATAAATATAAATTCATAGCCTGACACCAATTTCACATTTATTTTCATAATGTTGAACATCTCAGTCAAGCATGTATGATAGCACTTAGACTGTTCTACTCACATATTTTATATTGCTTCCTATTTCTCAGATCTTTGTATCTTCCACAACATCCTGTACACAGGCCAACATCCTGTATACGGCAGGCACTCAAAATATTTGCTTTAATTTTTCCAAGATGAACTTACCCTTCGAAATGACACAACATAAAACGTGTCTCCCCTTCTGCGGATGGCTTCAAAAAAGTCTTGATAACTTCTGGGTGAAGCATAATACACTTGTAGCTCATTCCCTGAGTTCCTGCTAAAGTAAAAGAAATATAAAGTTTTATTAAAGTAAAAAGTTTCATGTTCTCCCAAAATACTTCCCATTCTAAGGCTATGTCTGAATTGTAAGAATCTCTTTCAACCAAAATATTAGTAGCACTTTGGCAGTAAATTTTATGATAACATTTTGAAAAGACCAATATCAGGGTATTTATAAGATCCAATTCACTAAAGCTAAAATCCTCACTTCTAAATCAAAGCTCTAAAATGTACTAGGTGGTCAAGTTTATTATAAAGCATGTAAAAATAAAAACAGTATCAGAAAATAGATTCCAGCATAGGATTGCACGACTTTAAAATGTTGGGTAATAAAAATTAAGTCCAAGGAAAAGTCATTTTTCCACCATTTTGTCAAATATGTGAAGGTGTGCTTGCCTACGAGGCTGTGTGAAATGTGGAAAGAGCTTGGGATCTGGAAATAAATAGTCCCAGCTTTGAATTCCTGTTCCACTCCTCAAATCGGTATTCTTGGGGAAATCAACCTCTCTAAGCAACCTGTAATGGTAATCATATAAACCATGAGAGACTGTTACTGAGGATGTCATATGTAAAGTGCCATGCACAGGGTTCTGTTCCATAGGAATCACTCAACAATTGCTAGCCATCAATTATTAAAAGCACCATGTAGGTTTAAAAAACTAGAATTATAATACCTCGAACCACATCAAGCCCAAAAGATACACTCAAATGATACTAACATAGTTCTTAATATTTTCAGGGGCTTTTAGTGTTTAGGGCCAACATCCTGAAGATTGAAAGGATCCTATAATGCTGCTTTTTTCTCTGAAGAGAAAACTTATGTATCCATCAAACATTATTAACTTTAAGGAGATAAAGACTGACCTAAATGGAAATGATAAATGAGTCATAAGAACTTCTTTTGAATAATCCCAGTTGGCCACTAGGCCATTTCTGATTACAATATTTTGAATATACAGTCAATTCTTGTTATTTGTGATAGCCATATTTTAAAAAGTCATTGCAAGCTCTGAATTCCAAACCATTCTCCTAGCAGAAAGACAGGGTTAAGTTCCTGCAAGCCTCTGGTTACAATATTTTTGTCCACTCATCAATATATAACCTTATTTTATGTGTTTCTGTTTAAAGATATCTTCTTTAACATATTCATTCACTAAACTAAACTCTCAGCCAACAGCCAACAACTCATGCCTGAATGAAACTTGTCTAACATGTATTTTCTCCATAAGGCACATCATGGCCTGCTTGGGCTGAGGAACAATAGACAACACTTCAGCAATATACCAGGGGGCCATTTTAAACAGCAAAATCATCAACAAAAAAAACCCACAAAAATATGAAAAACGGCCGGGTGTGGTGGCTCATGCCTGTAATCCCAGCACTTTGGGAGGCGAAGGTCAGAGGATTGCCTGAGTCTAGGAGTTCGAGACCAGGTTGGGCAGCTTGGGAAGACCTCATCTCTACAATAAATAAAAAATTAGCCAGGCGTGGCGGTGCGCCCCTCTAGTTCCAGCTACTTGGAAGGCTGTAGTGGCCGTGAGCACTCCAGTCTGGGTGACAGAGTGAGACTCCAACAAAAGAAACACAAACAAACAAACAAATAAATAAATATAAAATATATAAAAGGACCCTATTTATACTATGAGAGTTGAAAAAAGAAGGCAGAATGTGGTCTGGTTCAGCTTCACGTGGGAGCATCTGTGCATGTTTACAAATGACCACAAAAGCACTGCAAGTATTGATTTTGGAGCTGCAAATATATCTTATCAGATTTTAATAAATGAATTAGCAAACTCAGAATCCACAAATAATGAGAACTGACTATAATTCACTAAAAACATTTTCAACTAAAGAAGAAATATCATGCCATCATAATCATGCAACAAAAAATGGATATATTTTAAAAATAAATGTATAGGAATTGAATGATATATTCTGGTTAAAAGAATTATCAGGTACTAGTTAAATATATTTGAACTATCCATTTCAACAGACTAATACATTCTCAGGATTTTAACATTCATGACTGCTGACATGCTACTCATTGCCATTTAATAAGAATTCTTAGCATAATTAATAAAACAACTTTCAACTTATATTTTTACTATATTTTTCCCAGTGTCTGGCATATTGTGGTTCTTAGTAAATGTTAAATTAATATTAAATAAATAGTGAACTGTAAATATGTGGTAGAGTTACAGACAGAAGCTGAGACTCTCAATGTTCACTTTAGTTACACTGCTGCCAATGTCATCACATCATCATCATTTACCATTTGGGAGAGGGGCACTTAATACAAGCCAAGTGCCACGCTAAGTGTTCTAAATATATTATTCAATTTAACTATATCTATATCACTTCTGTGCAGCCAGCATTTTATAGATGAAGAAACTTCAATTACATAAACCTCCTTGAGCCCACAAAGCAAGCATGGTTTGAATTCTGCCCAACAGGGCCAATAAGGCTAGCATCTTAATGGTGACACTATATTGCCTCCCATGTTATCTTTCCTGTTAGTTAAATATGTCTTGGTGAAGACATTCAAACCTCCAAATACAATACTCCCTTTTTATCTTGTAGTATCGTGTAGTGAAAAATACACTGTAGGTCAAATAGCTAGGGTCTGAATTCTGATTCTGTCACTTGGTTCTATAACTCTGAAAACTGCAAAAAATAAATCATTTTTCCAGTTTTTCCATATATAAAATACACTTCAAGTTATTATATTGATTTAAAGATAAAATGCACAAAAAGCACTCAGCAGGAATCCTGGCACAGAGTACTCAGAAAATAACATTTCCTTTCACTAGGCTTACAGGTGTAAATCAAGGACAGGAGAAATATGAGTATTCAAGATTTTCGTCAAAATTAAGAGTGAGCAGCATTCTGACTTAATCTGTATTTAAAGGATTTGAGAGAGTTGACCTTTTGAAATTATCTGGCTTTATACCAACTGCTCAGAAGTAGTATATGTTATATTCATAGTAATGTATGACTAATATAAAAGACATAGATGAGAACAAATTTCAGGCGAAAGGGAAGCGTGAATTTCAACTTTACTAAAATACTAGCTATTTTAAATACCCTGGCAAAGAACTTCCATACTTTCTTACCTGATAGTAGTGGTTTCTGTATATTGAACAGCCATTAGCTGAGAATTTGAGCCCTGTTCCAGAGCACCCTGAAAAAGAAAATAAAGCTTGCTTATTTATGTATGTATGTATGTATTTATTTATTTCAGAGACAGAAGATCTCTAAGCGCTTTGTTACCTACGCTGGAGTGCGGTAGCACATCACGGCTCACTGAACTCTTGGGCTCAGGCAATCCTCCTGCCTTGCCCTCCCAACTAGCTGGGACAGGTGCATACTATCATGGCCAGCTAATTTTTTTATTTTTTGTAGAAATGAGGTCTCCCTGTGTTGTTCAGGTACTGAACTCCTAACTTCAAGAGATCCTCCCACCTGGGCCCCCCACAGTGTTGGGATTACAGGCATGAGCCACCTCACTCACCCCTAAAAAAAAAGTTTATTACCATATAGTGCAATTATACAAAGATCTTCCTATACTGACTGATTGTACACTTACATGTCCTAAACTTTCATTCAAGTATTCATATTCTGAATTAATTAAACATTAAGAATAATCAGAATTCTTTAGGTCACAATCTGGGCTGGGAGATGTATCTTATAGAGTTTAAGACATTTAATGCACTTCTAAAATGTAAAGAAAGAGCCCAAAAGCTTAGTCCAAGCACCACAAGTTTTATGGCCAAGCTGTACAAGAATTACTGGACACATAACTTATGCTTGTCTAAAATAATTACATTAACCAATGACAAGTAGTACAAGAAGTACGAAAGACCCATAATGAAATTAGATCCTATTATTTACTGAGTTAAACACAAAGATATTCATGCTTAAATACACCTATGGACTAAGTCATTATTAAAAAGATCTCACTGGTGACTCTTTTGGCAAAAGGACAATTCAGTCTGGGTCCATTAGTAGCCCACATATGCTATACTGGAAATCTGTCTTTCACATAGATTTGCATTATGTCTTTTTATACTTCCTAGCAGTTTTGTAAGCTGATCTTCAGAAGAGTAACAGAGTTAAGGGCAGATTGCCACCTTCTGTCATGTTAGGAAGTGACCTTATCCTGTCAAACAGTGACTTAAATAATTGTTTGATCATTTGTTCATTACTGTGTGCATACATCCATCTATTGACAATCAAAGCACCTACATTCACTGGAGCTACAAAATTAAATATTTAACTTCTGCCTTTAAGAAGCTCACAACTTAACTAGGAAGACAGATATATGAAAACAATGCTAAAACAGAAGCAGTTATAAAAGGTTAAGGGAGAAAAGAAGAGGGCACAATTTTGTTTAGTAGATAGAACTAATATACAGGGATGAATATGGGTCTTACAATTTTTGGCTCTGTAACAAGTCAAGGATCTAATTTAAAAAAATCTAATGTAGGTCTTACAAACAGGTGTTCAATAAATGTTTGTTCTGTTTAACAAAAAATGAAAAAGTCTACCAATAAAATGAAAAGAAAGAAAAGAAACAAATACATTTACATTAAAAATACTATACTTATTCACATGATTATCAAGTAGTAAATAAAACCAAAATTAAATTATAGCTAGCTGATAATGTTTAATAATGTTTAAATAAACAGACTAGCTGGTGAATTTTAAGTGATTTCTGCTACTTTTGGTACATACGAAATGAACAAAAAATTCTGAAAGAAGCCAGACTTCTTTCCCTGGTCTCAGAAATGGGGGGCAGGCTTTAGGGAAAGCTGAGTTACAGAGGAAATAGATATTTCATTTATCTATCTAAGATTTGTACCAATTAACAAAAAACCTCTGAAAAATTGGCCAAGGGCTTTTGCAATTTTAGCTAGGTAGCGTTAGCAAAAGATTACAATCAGTAAAAATGTGAGACAGACATTTCCAAAGAAATGAGAGGATGTTTACAGCTCCGATTATGTTATAGAGATGTCTCTTTTTCCCTTGCATTCTGTCACTTTTTGCTTCGTGTGTTTTGAAGCTTTGTCATTAGGAGCCTATACATTTAGAACTGTTAGGTCTCCTTTTATCATTACAAAATTTCCTTCTTTGTCTCTTGCACTACACTCTTTGTTTGGAAGTCTACTTTGTCTGATAGACCCATGTTAGCTATTTAATGCTTAATGTCTACATGGTATACATACTTTTTCACCCCTTTATTCGCCATCTGTCTGTCTATATATTTAAAATGTTATTTCTTGTAAACAGCATATAACTGAATTTTCCTTAAAAAAATATAGTTTGACAATCTTTGTCTTTTAATTGGCATGTTTAAACCATTGAATTGAAATGTTAATATGATTGGATTTAAGTCTATCATCTTGGTAGATATTTTTCATGTATCCTGTTTGTTCTTCATTTATTTATCTTGTCCTGCCTTCTTTTCGTTGAAGTGCATATTTTTAGTACTCTATTTTTTATTTTATATGCGCGCGCGCGTGTGTGTGTGTTTTATATATAGATGGGTCTTGCTGTCACCCAAGCTGAAGTGTAGTAGTGTAATCAGAGCTCACCAAAGCCTCAAATTCCTAGGCTCAGACAATCCTCTTGCCACAGTCTCCCAAGTAACTAGAACTGCAAGTGCAAGGCTCTGTACCCAAATCCAGCTCTACTTCTTTATGTTAGCTTTGAATGGTTGTTCTAGAGATTATACTTTGATCTTAAAGTTAGCAGAGTCTACCTTGAAATATTTGAACAATATAAAAAATTAAAAGTATAATTCCATTTACCACCCCCCTTTGTGTCCTTATTGTCTCATATTTTACTTCCATTTAAGTTATAAACCCCATTACAAACTGTTATTATTATTTCTTTCAAGAGACAATAGTCTAAAAAATGTAAATGCACACACAAGTAAGACAAAGATAGTTTTGCGGGTTTTTTTTTAAAAGGCCTCTTCTTTTTACCCAGATAGTTCCCTATTTTGATATTCTTTCTTCCTGCTAATCTGAGGTTCTATCTGGTATCATTTACCTAGGTTCAAAAATATCTTTAGGCCGGGCTTGGTGGCTCAGTCTGTAATCCCTGCACTTTGGGAGACAGAGGCGAGTAGACTGCCTGAGCCCGCGGGTTCGAGACCCACCCAGGCAACTTGGTGAGACCTCGTCTCTACAATAAAAAAAAAATTAGCTGGGTGTGGTAGTGCACGTCTGCAGTTCTGGCTACTTGGAAAACTGAGGCAGAAGGATCGCCAGAGCCCAGCAGGTTGAGGCTGCAGTGGCCAGGAGCATGCCACTGCACTCCAGTCTGGGCAACAGAGTGAGACTCCAGCTTAAAAAAACAAAACAAAACAAAACAAAAATATCTTTAGTATTTCTTATAGTGCAGGTTTCCTGGAGACAAATTCTCTCAGTTTTTGTCTGTCTGAAAATGCCTTTATTTTGCCTGCATTTTGAAAGATATCTTCACTAATTTGCCCCTTTACCTTGTTTAACAACTGGTCCACGAAGAATGTTGAATTATGAAATCAGACAAGTCAAATCAAAGATATAATGCTTTGATACAACAGATATTTGAAAGAAATGTCAGTCTGCCAAAATTAAAAAATATCCTTTAAGACTTTTGGGTGCTTTTAGCATCTAAAAAAGGTAACTGGAGGGAAAAAAAGGTTGAAATGAGACATGAAGACAAAGGAGCAGATATAGGCTCGCTACACAAGAAAAAGAATCAAAGGATTCCTATATGCACTGGTATTGACAACAGCACAAGCAGCATGATCCTTCTTTTTCTCTAATCAACCAAAAACTTCTTTCACCATTGACAAATACTGCTTCATCCCCATCATTTTTCCATAATAGCTAAGATTACCACATTTATAACCATTCATTATCGAAGCACCTACAGAAAGATATGCACCCAAAGTAGCATAGAAAGAAATGGAACTTTAGATTAAACTACAAATCTCTTCCAAATGAACAAAGACTGTGAAATTAAAAGTATTTCCTTTACATTAATTCCCTTAAGACTAAAGAATACCAAGCATCCTTTTCACAGTAAACACTCTTCATTTATCCAGTGAATAGGAAAGAATAACAATAAATTATATCTAAAGATGATCCCCCTGTTCCCCCCCCCCCAAAAAAAAACCCTGCATTTAGGTCAAGAATTTCAATCTAATTTTTCATGAAGAATTTCAATCTAATTTTTCATCAACTGTGTGAGATTATCTACTGGCAATAATCTATTCCTACCTCCTATGTTCTTCCCCTGTATAGCAAAGGATGGAAGCCTGAAATCTATATTACTCAAACTGTTTTACCGCCAGGTTCCAGATATAATTTAATTCCTGCCAATAAGATGTACTTGCCCCAGATTTAGAAAGCAAAAGAGAAACAGAGACCATTTTTTCACCTGGTCATGGTGGCTGCTGCTGTGTAGGCTTTGGCAGACTTGAATTTTTACAGTACTGTACTCCTAATTTAAATGTCAGTAAGCAGCTTTAGGACTCCGAGGTAACTGTGGCATTGGTGACAATTGTTTGCAGCCTCTAGAAGTACTAACAACCAATAAAGTTGCCATAGTAGATAAACAAAGGATGTCACAGAGGTCCAAAGAAGCACATACAAGATAATTATAGAATTTCAGAACGCCAGAGCTTGGGCTCATCTAGACTAACATCCATTATTTTATAGATGAAAACAGTCTCATAACGGTTAAAAGCCCATGTTTCTTGATATCCATTTAATGCACTTTTGAACATATCACATACTAGTTCCAGTTAATCTCCAAATAATCAAATAGTTAAGATGTTTTCATTAGCATGTAAACATCTAAAAATAAAACCTTTCCGTTGATTCCTGTAACTACTCCATTTCTCTATTCCCATTTATGGGGCTCACCCTGAAATAATTTTCTCCATTTCCCTCTCTACTATCAGTTCTCTGAATCCACTTCAGATGGCTTTTGTCACCACCACTCCAATGAAACAACTTTCATCAAGGTCATTAACAAGTTACTATGTCAATTCCAAAGGTCATTCCTCACTCCTTATCTTAATCAGAGTCTCAGTCTCTGTAACAATTAATCACACCCCTCTTCTTAAAAAAAACTTGCTTTGCTTCAGTTTTGAGATACAAACTCTTTTCTTTTTCCTAAGAATACAGGAAGATTACATGGCCTCAGTCCCCTGCAGCAGGTTAGGGAAAATGACAGAGTTTTAGCCAACTGAACACTGGCTGGTCCAGGGTTGATCCCTAAAACATTTGGCATAAACTACCAGGCTCTTTCTTCCCTAACACTCACATTTTCTACTGTCTTACTGGTCATTCACCCCTCTTCCTTTTCAAGTGCTAGTTCTTCTTTCTCTTTCAGCCTCTAATATTGGAACTAGTCCAGGGTTCAGTTTCTCACTCTCTTTTCTTTCCTCTTTAATTTTTCCCTAGGTAATATCCACCCCAAATTAAACTTCTAGTTTTAACCACTCTCCTAAACTCCAGACCTGGATATATGATTGTTCACTTGACTTCTCCACTTGAATGTCTAATAGCCATACCAAACTTAATATATCTAAAACACTTGACTCCTGCCTCCAGCTGTGCCTGTCCTAATCTTGGTTTCAGTAAATAGCATCACCATTCATCCTATACGGAAGGCATAGGAATCCTGTACCTAAGGTATAGGAGTTATCATTGCTTTCTTTCTATTTCATATCACCAATTTATATTAGTTCCACTTTCAAAATATATTTGGCATCCAAGTATTTTCTTCTACTTTCACATCTACTATACTTGTATAGGTCTCAATGATCTCTCACCTGTACTACTAAAATGGCTTTTTAACTAGTCTCCCACTTCTAGTCATGCTCCTCACCATGGTCTATTTTGTGTAGCACTCCCCTACTCAAACCTTTCAATGCCATCCCTTCATACCTAGAATGAAACTCAAAGTTGACGTCACCATAGCCTATAAAGTTCGTTATGATCTCATCTCTGCCTCTCTGATCTCATCTACCTCTCTCCCCTCAGTCCCTACATTCCAGTCATACTCAGCTTCTTGATATTCCTGAAATATTAAAACTGTTCCCTCCTGAGGGTCATCACATTTGTTGTCCCCTTTGTCTGGAATCTCTTTCTCATGATTTTCCCCTAAATCATTACATTGTTCCTTCTGCCTACCACAAAAGCAAAGTTCTCACCAAACTCTGTTCTTCTTCCTGAGAATAAGGAAAATTACATGGCCTTAGTCCCCTTTGCAGTAGGTTAGGCAAAGTGACAGAGTTTTAACCAACCAAACACTGGCTCCAGTCCAGGGCTGATCTCTAAAACATTTTGAATAATCTACCAGGCTCTTTCTTCCCTAACACCCAAAGTTAGAAGCAAAAAGATTTCAGATCGTTGGTACTACACAGCAGAAGGAACCTGGATCCCTTACTCATCGCTGGAAGGAAAGCCAACCTAGAGGGCAATATCAAATTTTGTGTGAGTAAAAATCAAATTTTTATTCCATTAAACTACTGAGATTTGGGAGTTATTGTAACAGCATTAATTATTTCGACAATACCTTCTTTTAAAATGGGCATCAGCGAAGCTTTCTCTGATCACTCAATTTAAAGTAGTCACTCATTTCTCAATTAAATTCTAACCCCCTACCCTGCTTTATTTTTCTTTAGAGAACTTACCTCTAATTTTGAAAGTATTTGTGTATTTGTTTACTTGTTAATTGTTTAGCTCTACCACTAGAATGTAAGTTCACAAAGGTAGAGACTTTATCACATTCACTACTGTATTCCCAGGATCTAGAACAGTTTCTGGTTCATTATTATACTATAGGTAATGTTTGTGGGGAACTTGCAGTATGCTCATTGCTAGTCTAAGTGCTTCAGCAGTAGTAACAAATATTTGATGAATGATGGAATGAATGGTGCTTTGTGGCACACAACATTGAGATGGAATGCCCCACTGAACAGGTTCCAAGTAAGAGCTGTCAATAACCTATAGTGGTACATATTCAAGTTCAGAAGTGCTCTCTATGGATGTGCCTTTACTTCCAAACTGCCCCATATTTCAACACTCCCTTTTTTCCCCTGAAAATATTTGGTATCTTTAATCTCAATATCTGTTCTAGATGTCTTTTCTAAAGATATTACAATTTTAAACATCTCACATATAACATCTGACATATAGCATGCTAGAACTGGAAGAAATCAGAAATACAAAAGATGAAGTCACATCTGACCCTGAAGAAATACAAAAGATCATTAGAGACTACTATGTACACTTGTATGGAAACAAACTTGAAAACCTTAAGGAAATGGAGAATTTTCTGACATCACACAACTTGCCTAGGTTGAAACAAGAAGAAATTGAGACCCTAAATAGACCAATAACAATCAAGGAAATTGAATATGTAATAAGAAAACTACCTACAAAAAAACATCCTGGCCCAGATGGTTTTCCAGCAGAATTCTATAAAACATTTAAAGAGGAGTTGATACCAATCCTACTGAAAGTATTCCAGGCGATTGAGAAAGATGGAACTTTCCCCAAATCATTTTATGAAGCCAACATACATTAATACCCAAGCCAGGTAAAGACCCAACAAAGAAAGAGAACTACAGGCCAATATCTTTGATGAACATAGATGTTAAAATTCTCAACAAGATCCTAGCAAACCGGATTCAACAACACATCTCAAAAACACTCTTTTTGAAAGGCTCTGAGAAGAGAGGAAATAAACAGAATTATTTAGTATTATTGTGCCAAAAATATTTGCTGTAGATATCCATGCATAAGAACTCTTGGCTTGAAAGCAAACTTGAAGGTGAGAGCAGGAAACAGCACCATGCCTGACAGGAAATACTAATGCTATAAAGCCTAAACTTGTGCTATAAAATCAGGGAGGAAGGCTTCAGTGGCAATGACAGCTACATTAGAAGCAGCAGGAGGCAGTAGGAAGTAGCTAAAGCTCAACCGTTCCAAGTCTTCCAGGGGAGAGAGCAACCAAGCTGGGGGAAGCCCTCCAACAAATATGCCAAATATTGTTTGAAGACAAGAAGAAACAAACCTGAAGAATACGAGTTTTCTGCTGATTATTTGTCATTCTTCTTGATTTGGTCCTTTCTACTTCGTGTCTATGAACCCATCCTCGAAGTTCATGATTCAACCTATAAAATACAGCTTAATTAATTAAATATATTACATGGAAATGAATGTCTCATTCCTTGGTTAAAAATGAATTTAATTATTCTGTATGTTCCAAAGAGCATGCCAAGTGCCTGATGACTCAGTCTTTCTTTTTGATTTGAAAAAGTTAACAATGTTGTTTTTAATAAGACATGCATTTTTATATGGTAACCTCCTTCAATCATGAGTTCAAAATTCAAAGAAGACCACAGCAAAATACCTAACAAATATAAATACCAGATGCAAAGAATTTTCCACAAAAGAAGTTTCTGTTATTGAGTTATGTACATACAAACGTCTGAGTCATTGGAGAGAACTCAGTAAGTCTCTGGACACCTAACAACAAATAGATGCACTACAGCCTTTTGAAAATCATGCTCTTGGCCAGGCATGTTGGCTTACATCTGCAATCCCAGCATTTGGGGCAGCAGAGGCAAGAGAATCACTTGAGGTCAGGAGTTTGAAACCAACCTGGACCACAGACCCTGCCTCAAAAAAACAGAGGAAGAGGAGACAACAAAGTTGTAGGAGAAGGAGGGAGAAGGGAGGGGAAGGAGGGAGAGAGGAGGAGGAGAATGAGGAGGAAAGAAGAAGAAGGAAGAAGGAGGAAGGAGGAGGAAGGAGGAAAGAAGCAGGAAGAAGAAGGATAAAGGAGGAGGGAGAAGGAGAAGAAGAGCTCTTTTGGGAAAAGAAAAAAGAGTAAACTCAATTCCCTGGAAAAAAAAATTCAAATTTTTCAACACTGGAAATAAAAGGCTAGTTCGAATATATCTTTATTTTTTCTATTTTTTACAGAAGTTACAAACATGTTAGACTAAGCTTACTTAACTATAGGTGTTTACTACTCATTACAAAAAAACTAAATCAGTTTTTGAAGTTTAAGGTCCAAAACCACAAGAAAAAAATTCAAGGGAAAAGTTGATAAAGAAGGGTGTGCTACGGAAAAGTATCTCCAGAATTGCATATCCTCAAATTAATATGCTCCTAACTTGAAGAAAAAAGTAACTTCTGCTATGAATGTTATCACCCATAAGCCTAACACTTACTGTGAATTTTTATATAAATTTCATTTTTTGGTTCTCAAATAAGACATATTTAAGTATGCAATCATCATATAAAACAGACCTGCCAGCATTTCTACCAGGTTGGTGGAGAAACTGGACAACTGATATGGCTACAGTTACCCAACAAATAATCCAGAGATTCTCTCAGCCACTTAATCTGAATAATTACTTTTCTCAACTTCAAAGCTAAACACGGGAGCCAACTCAGATATTTCTGCAACAATCTACAACACTCACCTGAGAGATTCTGTTGTATTAATCAGGGGTTGACAAGGAGGTGGAGGAATATAAAGCAATGGTTCTTCAGTTAATACCATCAGGGCTTTGTCATTTGAAACAGGATGATCATACCTAAAACATACATGGACAAAATGTTTCCTTGCATATTAAGTTTCTAAGAAGTTTATAATAAGAAAATCATCATTAGTGCTAACTTTCCATAGAAATAAAAATATAGTGAACAGAACATACTGTAAGATAGAAGAGAAAATGAGAAAACTATGGACCACATAGCACAAATGTCATTTTCTAATTTTCTACAGAGACAGCATAGTAATTCACACTTATCTAGCTACCATTTATTGAACAATTGATATGCACCAGAAATGAGGGATACAGTGACACGTGGTTCATATCTTCAATGAGCTCAAGGCATACACAGTGCTGCTGGAACAGAGGAGGTGACACAGTAATGGGGTAAGTGAGAGGAAGACCAACCAGTTGACAGAAAAGACAGTATTAAGTGCCCAGACTAAAGTTTCGGGGACATTCACAATTCTGTGATAACAAAACCGAACAGCCTCCCTAAAACAGTCATGTGCACAGTGGGGATAAGACATAAAATACTCAGCAGGAGAAAAGTGAAAAAAATTGGGAAGCTGAATATAAATTTTAAAATCATGGAAGAATCTGAATCACTAATAAAACACCAGGCTAACATTAACCAATTACTGCATTAGCCTCAAAAACATATTTTCTAATCATCACATTGATCTATATCATGTGAATTCATACCCAGGGTGTAATATGGGAAGCAAAACCTAAGATGAAAATTAGAATCTGAGCTGAGGACATTATTGCTATTTATGCTCTTCAGTTTGCTATATTAATCTCTTTCACTAAGAAATCCTGTATCTGTCATCTCTCTCTCTTTTTTTGTTTGGACCTCACTCTGTTGAGACCCAAACCATATCCATATATCCCGATGGGCTCAGGCAATCCTTCTGCCTCAGCATTCCAAGTAGCTGGGACTACAGGTGTGTACCACCATGCCCAGCTAATTTTTTAAAATTTTTTGTAGTGATGAGGTTTTGCCATGTTGACCAGGCTGGTCACAAACTCCTGGACTCAGTCAATATGCTTACCCTGGCCTCCCAAAATGCTGGAGTTACAGTCCTGTCCTGAATTTCTTAAATAGAATGCTCTGGAATTTTAAAACTAGATACACTAAATCCCCCAAAGAAAACATGAAAATACATGAAATTGAACATGGTGAGATTCACACTTTTCATTTATTCATTCAACAAATACTTGCTGAATACCAACCGTGTGTCAGATACTAACTATACTAGGTGTTGGGAATCCAACAAGGAACAAGAGAAACAACATTTCTACCCTCAAAGACCTTAACAGGGAAGGTGGACCAAATAATAGAAAACAAACACATAAAGTAAGTCCAAACTCTGATAACTGCTATAAAAGAAACAGAAAAGCAATGGCAGTATCTACTTTAGATTAAATTTCTGAGAAGGAGACAGTATTTAAGTCAAGGTCTAAATGATGAGAAGAAGTCAGCCCTATAGAAATTGGGGTAAGAGTGTTCTAGGCTGGAGCAGGTGGGAAAAAGGTGGACTCAAAAAACTTAAAGATTACTGGTTAAAGAGTTGTGAGAAAGTGGGGAGGGGGCACGAGATGAGGTTGGAAAAACAGAGACCAAATCATGAGAAGGAATTATTAAATGTAATGAGAAGTCACAAGTGTTCTAAGCAGAAGTTACATATTTCAATTTATACTTAGCCATAGTACCAAAAATAGATTCAGTGGAGGCAAGAGGAGAAGCTGGGTGACCTTCAGGAGAGAGCTATGGTAATCCCAGCAAGAACTGACAATAGCATGGATTAGGTGTGTGGCAGTGGAGATGGAGACAAGTGGACTAATTCAAGACAATTTTTGGAAAGAATATCAACAACACTTATTGAAAGAGAGGAATCAGAATTTCTGGTTTAGCAACAGAAATGAGAAAGACTGCTGTACAACACTGATTAGAGGTAAAACAGGGAGGAACCAAGTTCCAATGTGTACATGTTAAGTTTGAAATGTTAAAACAGATGCCAAGGAGGCCATTGGATATGTGAGTCTGGAGACTCACAAGAGAAGTCTGGACTGAAAACATAATTTGAGAGTCATCAGAATATACAGATATGGATGGGGTATTAAATTATGGATGAGTCATCTAGGCACACACACAAAAAAAATTAAAAGTTCACAGTTCCAAACCTTGAGATTTGGATAGAGGAGGAGCCCATAAAATCAGAAGCAGCCAGTGAAAAAGAAGGAAACTAAAAAATGCAGCAACACAAAAGCAAAGTCTTTCAAGGAGCAAATGATCCACACATCCAAATGCCGAGGAAAGGTCAAGCAAGGAGACAAAAGTTTCCACTGAATTTGGCAATATCGAAATTGACAAATATAATTTTGGCAGAGTGGAAAGCGAACTTCAAGATAAAAGTTAGAGACATCTATTTACGTCACACACAAGGGAAAAAAAAACAACAGCTGAGGATACATACAGCATCCTTCCCTGCAACTTGCACTGGGAATATTTGCAATATCCTCTCTTGTGGCTACAGGGGTTAAGCAGGCTCAAGTTGTGTGGAATAAACAGAGATGTTGTTACACAGTTAATGACTGCAAGCACAAAAGGAAATCAGCCTAAAGTTAAATGCTGAGGGAAAAGAAAAGAAAATCTGTCTTGTGTTTGACAAATGTATACTCTTTTGAATACCTATAAGAGGCTTGACATGTTGAAAAATCAAGAACAAAGACCTATACATATGTGTTATTTCAAGAATCATGCCTTCATACTTATAAAAATACAAACACTGAAGTTCATCAGAAAAGTCCAAAACTGCTTTTGAAAATATATTTCTGATTTAAGTTCTGATAATGATTTCTGCACATCTGTGCTGACTGGCTTTGTTCTATTAGCCAAAAATATTCTTTGGAAAAGAAAAAAAAGTCTGATAGGAGAAATACCAGGACAAGGATTGGGTGGAGTTAAAGAGAAAAGAAAGGGAGAATCTAAACCAACATGCAATCTGGAGTCAATCAGACCCACGTTAAGCCAGAGATAGTCAGAATTCTAGGCTACTTGCAAACCATTCTGTATCAGTAGAAAAAATTACAGTAAATAAATCACTAAAGTAAAGTACTAGGGAGTGCAAGTTAATGAGAATTCTTAGAGTGAGGTCTGATATATAGAGTGACCATTATTTTCCATTTATCTAAACAGTACTGACTGATGTCTGATGTCTGACAACCTGATGTAATTATTACTAGCACTACCTTTCCTTCTTAAAAGTGTCCTTTGACTGACAAATTACATGGTCATATTATTTACATACTACATATTTCTGAGACTGAAAACATATATGCAGTCAATCATTGAAAACAGGCATATTACAATATTATAAACTATGGGATTTGAATCTACTCCTTTTTCATTTAAACAAGGTTTCAAACTCTCCTTTAAAAAATGAAACATAAAATAAGCTGCATTAAAAAATAAATACAGGTGTCATGGTTAATTAGAAATAAAAATATATAAAATTCAATTCAGAATAAATCATATTGGGTGCTTTCAAGTGTTTCACAAATTGTTTTGGTATCTTTTATTCAGCATTTGTACTGGTAAAAGCAAGACCATCAAATTAAGGGTCTGATATTTATTTAATTCTCTCAAGTTGCTAAATAATATTCTTAGATATTTCAAGAGATTTGCATATAGCCAAGAATCCATAATTTTCCTGTTTTCATCAAGACCACTAGCCCAGATTATTCACAGTGAATTGTGACTTTGGCATAGGGGACAGAAAGATGGCTTACCTTTCATATACTACTTTGAAAGCCTGAAAATCGTACAGACTTCTAGGCTAGATTAGTATGGTCAAACTACTAAACTTTACAAGGGCCACCACGTTAATGTGGCTCAAATAAGCAAAAGCTTCTATTTATTGCAGTTAGTGCACAATAAATAACATTCTTATAAAGATTACCCATAATTTTAAGTATCTAATCAATAACTTGTTCTATTTTTTAGCGACATGCTATCCCAACCCTCATAAACACAGACTATTGAATTTAAAAGGTAACTTTCAATGGCTCTCACATGAACAATAACAGAACTCAAAATTATGAAACATGTAGGGCAAACCTGGACAAATAATCCAGCAAAACTAAAGATACAATTAAACTCTACCAATATTCAGGGATACTGTTAAGCAACTACCAACATCAATATTTCAGAAGTATGGTTAATTTTGGCATGTGAAAAATCTGGAAATGTTATATAACGTTTTCCAACATTATGACATCTATCATTGCTATGCCGCATTACGTCTACTGCCATATAATCCTTTGGATCCTCCACTGCATCCAGCATAGCATGGTGCACAATGCAAATTCCTAACAAATTTTATTTCAGGATAGCTAAGTGGAGACAAGCCTGCAGGACTATGGTAATAACCTCATTCAATAGTAAAAATCAAGAAGAATAATTGCCCTATCCCCCTCAACCTATAAATCCTTAGAGAGTTAAGAGTAAACAAATCTTTAATAACTTTCAAGCATTGTACTGTGCAACGGTTACCATACTGTCATCTCCCTTTGCCTTGATAGTCAAGGACCTGGTTCTAGTTGGCTCTAATAAAAATTCCAAATAGTACATGGAAATGTTTATCAAAAAGTATACCACTGTAAAAATGTCCATTATACCTTCTTCTAGCTGACATAATATAGAAATTGTATTTTCATACAATTATAAGCCTTTTGCTATTAACAAGCATATGAAAATTTACCAAGTCATTATTCAATTGTACAAGGGATAGCTGGGCCCGGTGGCTCAGCCTGTAATCTCGCGCCTTGGGAGGCTGAGGTGAGTGGATTGCCTGAGCCCGCGGGTTCGAGACCCACCTGGGCAAGCGAGACCTCATTTCTACAATAAATCAAAAAACTGCTGGGCATGGTAGCGCGTGCCTGTAGTTCCAGCTACTTGGAAGGCTGAGGTGGAAGGATCGCCGGAGCCCATTAGGTGGAGGCTGCAGTGGCCGGGAGCACTTAGTCTGCACTCCAGTCTGGGCGACAGAGTGAGACTCCAACTCAAAAAAAAAAAAAAAATGTACAAGGGAGGGATTCAGCAAATATGACAATAAATAAATATAAATGATTTTACCTGAAGACTGCAAAAAGGTTCAACCACATAATTCCATCATATCACATCCACAGATGATAACAGTAACAAATATTACATACGTTATATGTATAAACACATGATAGATAAAATAACTATGTTGAGGACATATATAATATAATGCATATATATGTTTTAATATGTATATTAATGCACATGAACTAAGATTTTAAAGGTCACATCTCTGTAAGAATTCTAAAACTAGAAAAGGCTTCAAAGCAAATTTATGCTTAGAATTAATCTTAAAATATATGAATGGTTTCAGTAATTTATGTGCTCTACTAGTCAAAAGTACATATGAACAATCTAGATATAAAGTTTTACTAGATAATTGTTTCAGTTTCATTACATCACTTAGTCCAACAGATATATGCCAGCTAACCTGTAGTTGTTTCTCTGGATGATACCATCTGATGTGTCTCGTGTCTCTTTAGCAGAAAATCCTAGAAGGTGCCTCCTTTGATTTGCAGGGCTCACACTAGGGTTCATTCTCCTGGAATCCTGTTCTAGCATGCTGAAAATAAAAAATGTAAAACATAGATTGAAATAAAAATATGTCACACATAAGCCTGCTACATGTAGCTCTGAAACACACCACAATTCCATTGTAGGTCCATGCATATAGCAAAAATGATAGGCATAGAAGCAAGTCAAAACAGTGTACGGATGTGCTCAAATCTCTACTCTCACATCCTGTACACATCAAAAACAATTTTGAAAATAATTTCATAAGCTGTTTAAACAAAAGCAGTGCTCTATATGCTGCTAAAAACCCTATAGCTATGTATGTATATAAAGTAGAAATTAATATACATAAAAACACATTTTAAACTCACATAATAAGTGAAATAAGTCCTCCTAAATGCTGCAAACTGTGCTTTCAATTAAGGAATACTTCAAATGAAATAGGAATTATTATCTTTCTCAACAGCCAAATTCATTATTAGTCTTTCACAATTCAAGAAGGCAGGCAATCAGACAAAGCTAACAAAAATTTATTTTTAAAATACTTCTATTTTTGTTTACATGTAAAAATTTCTAATTACTTATTTCTCCCTACCCTTCCTAATACCCTCATTCATCAATGTATAGTCTCTTGACAGGCGTAAGTATTTGGGGAAATATATATATTTATGCTGTAATGGTTTTTAACTTGTTAATCATGTGCTTAGAAAACTGGCTCATCAGTAGGATTTTTTGTGTCTGTGAGCACTTTATGATGCCAAGTACATAATTTACACTAGTCATAATCTTCTTAAAAATCAACACAATGAGAATTTCACTAGGGAAACACAAAAGATTCTATTTAAAAGGAAAAAGTAGAAGAAGAAAGTAAAGGTAAAAAAGGGGAGTTAAGGGCCCTGTAGCTCTAACAGAAAATAAGTTATTTGTGATATAGCAATTTGCCTCCAAATTTGGGGAAAGCAGTATTAGTGGAAAACAGGAAGCAGATATAGCTCTCTAGAATCTTTTTCTTATCTCTTATTATTTAATATTTCCCATTTTCCTTGGTTCTTTACCTAAGAAATCATTGCTATCCAGTGATTTTCATGTGGTCTGCTATGGCACTCTGGAATATTGCAAACTCTTCAAGGTGTATAGCTATAGTGTAAAATTTAATTTTGTTGCAACTATGTTTTTCAGACTGAGCAGTCACATGGCAGTATAAACCTTGCTGCAAATGAGGCAAGAGGCCTAGTAGAGTATCTAAATACACTTAGGAAAACTTACCCTGATGAGTAGTTAAGAAAACATGAGAGAAACAGTGAACAATAAAAAACTTATTTTACCTGCTAATTACTAAAGAACTTTCAGGATTCTAATTAGCAAAAGAAATTCTTCCAAGCAAGGATCAGCATGCTATCCATATCCTCAACTGAGTTGTTATCAAAATAAGAAGCTCCTTCCAAAACTGTAAAAATGTAGGTTTAACCACTTAAAATTAACTGTAATACTACCTATTCCAAAATTTCCCATATTGACCATAAAGATATCACAAGATTGTTAAATGCTTTTCTAAGATGCAAGTACAGCATATAATAACAGTAGCTATCACTTCTGAGCACCTGCTATGTACTGAGAGAAATGAAGACTCAAAGGAAGTTGAGGCTCAGAGCTTAAACAATTTACCCAAGGCCATGCTCTAAATCAGCGATCCCCAACCTTTTTTGGCATCAGGGACCAGTTTCATGGAAGACAATTTTTCCATAGATGAGGAAGGAGAAAGAGGGGAGAAAGAGCACGCAACCTAGATCCCTCGCATGCGCAGTTCACAATAGGATTAGCGCTCCTATGAGAATCTAATGCAGTCGCTGATCTGAAGAAGACGGAGCTCTGCTTGCCCATCACTCACCTCCTGCTCTGCCACCTAGTTCCCAGCAGGCCAGGACCGGTACCTGTCCACGGTCCAGGGGTTGGAACCCCTGCTCTAATAACTAATAAAGTCAGGATTTATATTCAGAATTGGAACTCCCCTGCACTATGTTGACCACATTTCCCAGAATTCATTCACTTATAAATGTAATAAGGACCTCTTATTTCCAAGAACTATTCGTGTATTTGGGGCTAAAGACTCAAAGATGAAAGACAAAAAAAATCCAATTATAGCAATTTTCAAATAATATTGTTTTGTTCAACATCATTTTGTTGTGACATTGATGAGAAGAAAAAAATAAAATCAATTCTTGGCCAGTCTGTGTGGAATTTTCATGTTCTCCCCAAGTCTGCATGTGTTTGTTTTCTCTGAGTGCTCTGGTTTCCTCCCACATCCCAAAAATGTGCTCGACAGGTGAACTGGCATGTCTACACTGTCCTACTCTAAGCGAATGTGGGTATGTGTTTGAGTGCACCCTGCGGTGGGATGACATGCTGTTCAGGGTTGGTTCCGTTGTGGAACCCTGAGCTGCTGGGATAGGCTCTGACCACCTGTGACCCTGAACTGCAATAAACAGGTTAGAAAATGAATTAACATTAATTGTTGTAAAATAAAAATTCATAAAGTATACAACAATCATACAAGTGCAAGACAATAAACGATGTGGTACAAAAATGCTCAGCAAGCCTACTGCCTTTGCAATTTTGTTTTGAACTGCATGATAAGAAGCGCGCCTTAAAATTTTCACTTTGCAAATATTTATTCCTTGATTTAACCCACCACCATCCACTCACTGATTCACCACAATTTGGAGCAATAATTGTCTTACTTATTTTTACTAATCTTTCTTAAATGTATGTGTAGTTCATACTTATTTCAATGTTTAATATTAAAAAATGTTTTGGGTTTTTATTTAGAAGTGATGTTTTGTGACCATAAACTTGCTATGGAAACTTAACTCATTTATATCATAAATTAGCCTATGGTAAAATTGGTTTCATTATATGTCATTTGCTTGAAGCTGCAGTTTCCAAGAGTCTATGGATGATGTTGAGTGAGGACTTACTGTACAGTAAGTGGAGAGAGGAGAAAAGTGGGTGTGGAGAGAGGAGAAAAGTGACTAAGATAAAAGACAGTGATTTGTGCCATAATAAGAGTTAATGCAGACTAATATGGAATAATGCAGCCAGGGCACTTGATCTCTAGAGAGAGGATCATCAGGTAATCTTAAATGACAAGCACTTCATGCAGAATATTATATGAAAAAGCACACAGGCATAAGACAGCATGTTTCGTTTAAGAAACTACAAGTAAAGTAGGAGAGGGTGTGTGGGTGGACATGTGCATGTGTAAGCACACAGTGGGAAGGGGGCATCTCAGAGCTAAAGAGAAGAGATTATAACAAGAATGCAAGGCTGGGTTATGAATGGCCTTGCCTGCCACACTACCAATGAACCCAGCAATTTATTCACTAAAGGAAATAAAATTTATGTTTTGTTCTTGTTTTAATTTTGGCTCCCCATTATAATACCCCTTTCTATATCAGAATCTTCCTATGATTAATGTTAAATCCCCTGGTCTAATGAGGGAATTTACATTTTTTCTTTAAAATATTAGTATTACATTTGTCTCCTATTCACCTAGACTGCTTAGTAATTATCACTGCCAGAAAAACAGATTACTAGAATAGTTTGTCTGCTTTTCTAAATTTTTGGTTAGGGGGTCTTAAGGCCATAGGGAGGCTTTCTCAATAACTTTCATGGTTGTTTTGTTTTGTTTTTTAGACAGGATCTCACTCTGTCACCCAAGCTAGATCACAGTGGCATGATCACAGCTCACAGCAGCTTCAACCTCCTGAATAGCTGGGACTACATGCTTTAAATTTTTTTTTTTTTGTAGAGATGAGGACTTGCTGTGTCGTCCAGGCGGGTCTCAAACTCCTGAGCTCAAGTGATTCTCCTGCCTCAGCCTTCCAAAGTGCTGAGATTACAGGTATGAGCCACTGCACCTGGCCAGCTTTCATGGATTTAACTGCCAGATCAAAGTGGCTGTTAAGGCTTCTAGGAATGGTTAACAAACTTTGTTAATTCCTGTACATCAGAATATGTCTTACTATAGCATAGTGGCTCTCAAAGTGTGGTACCTGGCCTAGCAGCATTAGCATCCCCTAATAACCAGTTAGAAATGCAAATTCTCAGGCCTCAACTCAGAAACTCTGTAGTGGGTTGCCTATCAATCTGTGGGTCTTTTTTTTTTTTTTTTTTTAAGAATTGGTGTACAAGTGTATGTTTTTTACATGAACATATTGTATAGTGATGGGGAATGGGTCTCGTGTGCCCCATTCCCCAGATAGTGAACCCTGTACCCAATATGTAATTTCTAAACCCTAAGTCCCTACCCCCCTTATTTGGGTCCCCGGTGTCTATTATTTCCATCTTTGTCCATTATTTTCATTTAGCTCTTGCATATAAGTGAGAATGTGTGGTGTTTGGTTTCCTGTTTCTGAGTTAGTTTATTTAGGATGATGTTCTCCAGCTCCATCCACGTTGCTGGAAAGGACAGGATTTTGGTTTTTTTAATAGCTGTGTAGGATTCCATGGTGTATATATACCACATTTTCTTTATCCAGACAATCGTTGGTGGGTACTTAAGTTGGTGCCATGATTTTGCTATTGCGAGTAGTACTGCAATGAACATACAAGTACAGGAATCTTTCTTATAGAGTGATTTCTTTTCCTGTGGGTAGATCCTCAGTAGTGGGATTGCTGAGTCAAATACTTATTTCAAAGTAAAATTGGTTTCATTATATGTCATTTGCTTGAAGCTGCAGTTTCCAAGAGTCTATGGATGATGTTAATTTCAATTTTTAGTTCTTTAAGAAATCTCCATACAATTGTGTTTTAACAAGTTGTCTAAGTGACTCCACCAATGTTTGAGAGCCAATATTCTAAGATAATCCTGTTTTTCACATCTTTTCTACCTCAATTTCCTAAAAGTTATACTTTTTTCAATGGAGCCAATAGAAGTAGTCAGTTTGGGAAGAGGGATTGGGGCAGTTAGATAGGAGAGACATGAAAAGGTACAAACAAAAGTGACTGTATGGTTTATGATTTATAAATTACATTTGTTCAGAATTATTA